GTTTTCTGTGCCGCAACCCACCTGAATTAAGTAGGCTAGGCTTATCTAACTTAAGTAAAATATTAGGCCTAAACACCTACCACTGGGTTTCAGCAAATGATTTTGGAATCGCTGAACCGATCTAAGTAGGCCTAGGCCTAATCTATAAAGCAGAATTAAAGATAATATTAACACAGAGAATACGCATCCGGTAACCGGACGTAGATTAGGCGTCCGGCAGTGATGTCACCGGGTTGAGGGGGCCCGGAACACCGTTACCACAATGATCATGTACAGCCATCAGTGTTTCAGGTGTAATGGATAGAGTGCTCTACTGACATGCAAGAGGTCCCTGGTTCGAATCCCATCGATAGGCCTAGCTTTAACATTGAGTAGACCTACCGTACAGTTTCTTAACTGGGCTATGCTAATATCGATTGAAACTATCGAATTGAAAATATAGTTTAATAATCAATATTTTACCATAAGCTAGGTACTGTATCAATTATAATATTAAACCGTCATAACCTAACCTAGGCTAACTAACTAAACTTGCTGATAGGCCTAGCGAAAAAATCGAACCAAGGTTTAGTTTACTGATCAAATCGATAGTTTCAATCGGTATTAGCATAGGCCTAGCCTAGCCCAGTTAAGAAACTGTACCCGGTTACTTAGGTTATGATGACAGTAACTGCCGGACGCCTAATCCACGACCGGTTACCGGACGCATATCCTCTGCGTAATATTAAAACCTAAGACAATCATAGGGAAAATGGTAACTTACCTGTGGTAGATTCTATTAGGGTCTTTTCTCGACCTACAGCTCATAACTTTACAGGTATGATGGCCTCCCATATTTAAAACAATTTATGGGCCAAGAAATTAGGCCTACTTAAAGTTCACTTGTTTAAAGTGCTTCACTCTTCAAACTAACTTTTTTTATTGATTCAATCACTAATTATAAACCCTTTTTAACGAGTCAGCAACGAGCAACAACAAATCTTTACTTATCATGCATACAATTTAAAACTAGGCTTGTTTACATTGTGTAGGCCTGTGTGTCTGTGTGTAACAAACAGCGAAGAGCGAAACAGCCTAAATCACGGGTGTGACTTAAGGGAGGTAATAATGAGGCAACAATGACATCATAGTTTAGTTCAAAATTCGTCCGTTAACAGCGTTGTAGTAGAGAGCACAGCCACACTTGACCTTGCAGGCAGCGGTTCTCCTCTGATTTAGACAGCGTTGGAGTTGGAGCTGTTGTCTGCCTAGTTCTATCGTCTGCCGCTCAGGCGCACTGCATGCAAGATGCAAATGGCGATATTATCTTCTGCTACTGTAGTAACTCACTGAAGTTAGTTGAGGTTATGTTATGGTTATTGTTTATGTTGGTGAGGAATTGCCGATTTTTCCCATACAAAAAGATTACCTAATACTGAAAAAGTATCAGTGAAATAAAATAATCAAATCTATTCACTTATTTGCGTTTTTGGCAAATCATAGATAAGTAATTTCTAGAACCAATTTAGTTAAACTTAGGCCTTGCTAACTTGGTATTAACAAAACAATTAATTTTCTATAATTAAAATATTTATTATATATTATTATTATATCTTTGTTACATAAAATATTGGGTACAGTTTCTTAACTTTACTGGGCTAGGCTAATATGGATTGAAACTATCAATTTGATTAGTATACCTTAAATCGATTTTTTCATTGTCAGTAAGTTTGGTTAGTTAGGTTAGATTATGTCAGTTTCATTTTAAAATTGATATAGGTAGTAAAAAATATTTATTACTAAGAGATATTCTCAATCGATATTAAGTTAGCGTAGCCCAGTTAAGAAACTGTACCCATAATATTAAATAGCCTATACTGTATATTTATAGTTAAGTTTGGGGGGTTTTATTTAACTTACACGTTGTTTTCTTATTGATTTTAATAGGTACATGGATGTATTTAATTGAAATATGTTAAGTTAAAAGAAAATCAGGAAAAATAATTAAACTTACGCCAAGTTATTTAATTAAGTTAGGTAGCCAAGTGAAACTGAAGTGTTTTACTAACTAAGTTAGTCTGTCCTATACAAACGCAAGCTTTAGCTTGAAATTTGATTGTGGATGGATGACAAATGGATAGGCCGCAACATTTTTTAACAACTGTGATATACACATAGAACACAGTACATAACTTTAAATATTAATCCGATAGTGATGAATTTAATTTTTAATTTAGAAAACTTACTTAATTTAAGGTAAATTCTTTTACCTAACCCGCCATGTTAAACTTCCCTATCCCAAGCGTGATGTATACAACTTCTTTACTTCTCGAGTGATGTAAAGTTGAAAAAACTCACTCGGTGAGGTAATGAAACCCATTTAAATAACATTGAGTGTTTTACTTAAAACATATACCTCTATGGAGCCAACGACGATCAACGCTAGAAATCAGCTGTGCGCTTGAATTTTATTGTTATGCTTTGAAGAATTTTCCTAACCTAGCTTTTGTTTGTAAATTAACGTTACTGTTAGAAGATGAGTGAAATGAATAATGAAAAATATTTCTCGTAACCTCCTGTATATTGTCGGTTCAGGTAAAATCTTTAAGAGCGTGATGTAAAAACGCTCTTACTACACTTAATGTAAATAGCTATTACAAACAGGGTATGTAACATAGGGTTTTAAGTTAAGGTAACTTAGTTGTGTCTCTGAGACGTTAGTTATATTAGGACCAACTTAATGACTTAATGATAAGGATAAATAAATATTGTTTAGTATCAATCAACACAACTACCTAAAAAATATCATACAACATAACAATTAAAAAATATTCTACCGGTATTACAATTAAACTGTTCTAAACCAACGTAACCAACCAAACTTGCTGTAACGTTTTAAAATTCCATTTTATGACCTTTTCCTTTTTATGAGCTTATCCTATTCCCCATATGCCTTTTCTGTTATCAAACAAAATTTTGAAATGGTGATTAAGCCTACTGCAAATTTGGTTAGTTATGTTAGGTTAGTTTAGAACAGTTTCATCTCAATAAAATATTTTTTAATTTGTAATTTAAATGCGTTTGAAGATATTAAAACTAAAGGAATACGGATCGTGAAGTAAAACAAAAGTATCGATATATCGAAAAGAAATCATTGATAATAATTAATGTTCCCTTTAACAGGAAAGTACCGAAATGCATAACTAAGTTAGGTCTGCACCTATTGAGGTTTGATTAATTCTGTGAAAGGTTTACACAAAAGATACAATAACTTACCTAAGTTACTTACGGAAAAGTATTGTTTAGTACCGGTAATCCTTTACCATGTTAGTAACTTAACCACTAGAGTCTGCAGTTGGCGGTAGCCAATCACAAGACGAGGCTAGTGCGACGTTGCCATATCGCCCGTTGACGACACTAATTAAAATACTAAACGATATTTTCAAATCAGCTGGCATTATTGGGTCAACTGGAGGTCGGGTCAAAAAGAGACACTTTAGGCCCTAGTGATGAAGTATATTATTAGACACTAATTAGAGAACTTTATGAATGGCTCATTCAACTGTGTTCAAATTGGCGACCATATAGATCGATGGGGTATCTCACTTCAGTATATACAAATAAATCATATTATTCAAAATATTTACAAACAACTGCTAACCATCACAAGAAATAAAATGACTTAAATTTTTCGGGATTGGGAACGTGATCTGATGCACAGGTTTTTAGTACAGCAGAACCCTGCATTACAGCCCAAAAGCAATTTTCTTGTTTATTGTAAACATTGATGATACAAATAAACTAAAAGAAGATGACTTTCATTTGCAATTTGTTTAAATCTTACTTAGCCGACTAACTTAACTTACACATTTTTATCTCAATAATTGTCGAATTGAAAAATAAATACCTAAATAAAGGTATTTTTTACAGTTCCTCTAATTAAGTTACATTGATGAACTAAGTTAAATTTAAAACAATTACAGTAAAATGAGACATTTAATACATAAAATTGCTTTTGAGCTGCCCTCTGCATTTTTGCTTCAACGAGGTAGGCCTACCTATAATTTACACAACTGCCATTTGACTTGCCACTCAGTAAATGTTTTTTTTTTTTATATTTGACAAATGTGTGCAAGACTATGGTGTCACAAATTGTTTGTAATATTTGGCAAAAAGGTGCGCAAGACTGAGGCACGACAAATTGATTGTAACAATTGTCAAAAAGGTGCACAAAACTGAGGCGCGACAAATTGATTGTAACAATTGTCAATAAGAGGTGTCAGAAAGAAGTGTCCCAAATGAAAAAGTTTAAAGTAGGCTAAGTTAACTTGAAATACCCTAGCCTCACTTAAATCTTTCCGTAATAAATCCACACATAGGCTTGCTCAGAAGATGTTAAAACACTCACCTACATAGACACCAGCACACTGTAATGCCCAACGGTAAGTTACTGAGTTACACTCTAACTAAGTTAAGTCTGCACAAAATTAACAGCCCCTACCAGAACCTACCAAGGTTCCAACATTCATAAGCACTAATAGAGGGACTGATTTGAAAACCCCATATTTTTGAAGGAAGAAATTCTAAACTAAACCATAGCCTAAAATTTTAACCTTTAAAAATTACAGCCTTGCCTTATACTTTGGCCTCTTAAAAGAAGAACATCTTAACATGGATCATAAACAATACCCTAATCGGAAGAAAAATATTAAGAATAAAAAAAACTCCGGCTAAGTAAATAAATAACTCTTGTCTATATTAACCTCAACTCAAAAAGTAAACAAACGGAAACCGGAAACGACTGGAGGAGCAATGAGCTGAGCAGACAGCCAGCCACTAGCCAGACACAGCGGAGCGCGGCAACAAGCGGCAGACAATGGTACTAACTAACTTGTCTGTCATCCAGTGAGAAAAAAAACAGAGGAGAACCGCTGCATGCAAGGTCAAGTGCACAGCCACGGCCGCCTTTAACTACAGGCCGCGGCCATCGAACTGGCAACGTCGCAAGTGGTGCTGTGTCACGTGACTGTTTTGTTTACATTTTGTTTGGATTGGAAGCAGCCGACGCCGACACGCACTTTTAATATTTACATTTACATTTACACACTTTGCACTGCACTTGCACTTGCAGAATGCAGACCAGACAAGTAAGTAAAGTACAGTTGTATAATCAAGTAGAAGTAGTCTGTTGTTATTCAACTTGTACAGTACATTATTTTCACAAAATATGCTAAGTTAATTAATTATTATTTATCTAAATCATTTTGAAGAATCGAGTTTTATCAGCAACAATACGTAAGTTTGATTTTGGTAACAAAAACTAAAAACTATAGATTAAAGAACCAGCTCAGATTTCAGTTCTAATCTTATTGTCAAATTGCCAATGTATTTATTAACTTATTAAGTAAGCCTATTTTGTAGTTTGGTCTAGGCATTGTCTTTATAAATATAGCCAACATAGATCTGAAAGTAGCATCCATAAATTGCGTATATTTAATCCCTTCATAAAGTTGAACGCAGATAAATTTAAATGTATTTTTTAAAGTAATAATTGAACAACAAAATGACCTTCACGAAAGTATTCGTGCTACTGACCTATTGTCTTAACTTTACAGCATTATAGACATTAAATTTATGATCCATACCGTGTCTGTTCGTTTAAAGCCTATCATTGGCCTGTTCCTGTTCTAAGTTAAGTTAGTACTGTATTCGTGGGTTAGACATAGCCTATAGAAGCATTACATAGTTAGTTTCTCTAAATTTTTGTCCAGACAAGGTAGTATCAGGGAGTGCCTAGGCTAGGCTTCACTGTGGACATCTAACTGATAACCTATTTAGTCTACCATGATCATTTAATGCTTAGGGAATTAAGTAACAGGCATGCAGGCTCAATGGTTCAATGTAGGATAATTAAATCTTAACCTTAATGGCTTCGCCAATTATTGGTATCAGCCCTAAATGAAAGAGTTGAATAAAAAAAAACTTGTCTGGATGTCAATGTATGTAGTAGAGATCATCTAACTCATTTATGTTTTACCAGGTTGGATTGCTGAACAGCATGGGTGAAAGATTTCTACAACAGTACATCTACAGTAGATGTAACTAGTAACTAGGAGGATGGTGGTTGAACTAATTGCTACAACATTTTTCCATTCAGAAAAAAATATGGGGACCGAGCAAGGCTAAACCAAACAAATGCAAATGCTACTTAATGTTGGTAAGTTTAATGAAATTACATCCGTACCTACATGGCTTTGCCAATTATTGGTATCAGCCTAAATGAAAGAGTGAGTTGAAATGCATAAACTTGTTTGAATTTCGATGTAATAAAGATGCAATCTTGTTTTTTACAATTGTTTAAAGGGAACGGAAAAATCAGTTGTTTGATCTGGGTAACTATTATTAACCAATTAAACTAAAAATTTGAATTAAAAAAATTCAACTGCATTTTAACACATTCAATGCGGCGGGTCCACCGGTGGGGGAGCGCGCATTGCATTGTTTGCCGGATCAGTGTGGTTCAGCCATTGTCCGGGGAACGTTGTAATCTTTACCAGCCTGTAGCTTATAATGCGAGCTTTATTCTGGTGTAGGTTGGTACAAAAATTGCCCGTAAAATCCCGTCTGGCAATGCTTTTGTCCCGTTTTCGGGGATATCTCAATTCGAGCCGTATTACAAAGACTCTGGTTATTGATCCAGGCAGTGCTGCTACCTTTGGGTGTTTCAGTGAACTACGTCCACTTTCGGAGTAACGCAGAACAATCACCAAACTGCTCTTTTGTGATTCGTCTTACTGAGATATTTCAATACCAATAGCGATCGCTGATTCAGTTCAAAGCGCGTCGGGGCTCCGCCCAGGCCTCGCCGCAATTGGCGAGCGCCTGTTTAAAGGTTTTCAGCAGCGGAATGTGTTAATTATTTACAGCTTGCAGACTAATTAAAAGTGTAATTCAAAATAGTTTTTTATTTTAAAAAAATTTTATTTTATTTTTTTTTTTTATTACATTTGGGCCTAATTAATTAGTTTATAATAGCTACCCATATCACTAGTGGTGATCTATTAAACTTATTGTTACATTGTTGTCTAATGTTAAACTGGTTAAACATAGACTAAACATTCATAATAGCTCAATAGACATAACAGTAAATGATATAGCCTACCTAACTTATATAATATCTAACAGATTAGCCTACCTGAGACGGGTAACCATTAGCTTCAGTAGAAATAAATTTGTCTTAGTGTGGATTTATAATTTATTATAATGTCATCATGAATAATACCCGAGATCACAGCCGTTATATTATCTACCGTTACTTACTTACGCACTCCTGTGGCCATTTAAACCCTAGGCGGTCTTTGGCCTCGCCAACCATGTGCCTCCAGGATCCTCCATCTTCTGCCAGCTCTAGGTTTCCTCCCATTCTCCTTAGGACTTTTGTAACCTTATTAATCCATTGCATCCTTGGTCTTCCCAATGGTCTCCTATCCTCCATAGTACCTCTTATCACATGCTTTACTATCTCTCTTTCACCTGTCTTTTGAATGTGGCCCAGCTATCTCAACCTTCTACTTGCCACTACCGCAATAGGTACCTATCTAGTTCTCTATGAAATTCCCTCAACGCCCTATTTTTTTATTCTCCACAAAACTTATCTTTTATTGGTCCAAAAAACGCTTCTTAATATTTTATTTTCAAAAGTATTAAGTCTTTATTGGGATTTTTTAGTGAAAGAACAAGTCTATAAACCGTATAAAACTTACGTACCTCATAACGCGTTTTCAGTCTTAAAAAATTAGTCTGGGGATGACTAGCTTCGCGTCAAAGACCCATTATCAAATCCACATCAAACTGGAGAGTCTATAATCCGACAGAGGTCTTCATCAAAATGTATATGCAGTATATACGAGTCGACACATAAAGCTCAAATTTACACATAGATACAAGCCCATTTATATACATTTAAAAAGCTATTGGCCGGCCACATTCGTTCACATACTGGATAAACCGACACACTGACACAGTTTGTATGGCGGACACGATGGAACTATCCACAGTTCCATCATGTCCGACAAACAATAACTAATCGACACAGGAACTATGGATTTCATTACAATATTAGGCAGTTTTAGGTTAAATTCCCCCTCCCCTAAAACCGCCTTAGAAATATTGTGGACAAATCCATAGTTCCTGTGTCGGTTTGTCCTGTGCGTGAAAGAATGTGGCCGGCCTATAGCTTTTTAAATGTAAGTTAGGTACTCATATCCGTGTGAAAATTTGAACTTTGTGTCGACTCGTGTATATGTACGTTTTGATGAAGACTTCCGTTCCGTCGGATTATAAACTCTTCAATTTGATGTGGATTTGATAATGGGTCTTTGACCTGAAACTAGTCATCCCCAGACTATTTTCAAGACTGAAAACAGACAGAAGTACGTAAACTTTGTATTATTTTGTACACACAGTCTTGGTGGTAAGAATGTATAAATTTTATTAAGTCAAAACTTGATTTTTCTGCTGCTTTGACTCTTTTTTGCATTTCAACATCAAATTGACATTCAGCATGTCAAAAGAAACAAAAAACGTACTATAACATGTGACCTATCTCATTCCGTTTTCGGTCTATGTTTTTGTATTTGATTTTTACATAAACATTCATGACTCCTTAACTGTTTGAGCTAGGCCTATAACTTTGAAATTTTGTAAAAATGTTCCACTATGGTTGCAAATATGAATAAATTGAAAATAGTTTGTACCTAGATGGTGTGGAGAACTAATAGAGTTTATTAGGTCAACATGATTTTATTAATTTTCATTAGATACATTGGAGTGTAGTAAACAGTGTTAGCTTGAGAATTAACATTTTAATTTTTTTCAGCCAGATACATATATATCCAACTAGCTGTACCCACGGGCCTTGCCCCGTTTAACTTCACAAGTGAGCTTGTTCGCATGGCTCAATCACGTCCTGGTTGAAGTTCGTTCGCTATGTTCACTCACCTTTTGGTTGAAAATTAGCTGTTAATAAGCTAATGTTAATTAGCTAAATTAATGTTAATTAACTGTTAATTAGCTGTCAATCTTTTACATACATAAATGTAAAAGAAATAATAGTGCTGCACCCTGTTGGTAATCCTTGTAACTTTAATGCTATTGAACATTATAGAACAGAACCAACTTGTTTAATTGAAACAGCTGTTAAGATTCATTAATTCCATTTCTCATAAGGTTAACATGGGAAACTCCAGAGCCACTGGGGCGGAGCCGATTGGACGGATCACGAAATTGATGGTGTATAAACCTATTCCATGAAATTCTACACGTATGTACCAAGTTTCGTGGCAATCGGTTCAGCGGTGTCTAAGTTTATCACTGCCAAATATATATACAAACATCCTCTTTTATACTTATAGATAATTTCTAGTACTGTAATTGTTTATTAATTAATGCTCTATGAATATTTTTTGTTCTTATTTCAGATAATAAAAACCTGCCGTTGGAATGGATCGAGTTGATGAGATTTACGCCTTTCATGCCATTCCCCATTGTCTTGGAACTTTTCAGTCAAACTTACATCATCCTCATGAAAATGTTTAATACATACCACAGAGCTTGCATTGGGTTCCCAATCTGTTCTAGAAATTGCACGAATCCACGCCCTACACAATTCAGGATTCTTCGGAAAGAAAATGTACTAGTAACTCCTTCATCTTTTACACTATTTCTATAATTTGATTTGCAACCAGGAACAACACATGCTCGAGGCATCTCAACATCACTGTATTACTTGTACTTCATAAATAGTGAATAACACGAATAAACATGGTTTCTAATTTACTTTGGTAACTTAATTTTACCCACTTCACTGGTGAAAATACCCAATATAACTCACTTAGCTCAGTGAAGAAATAGGCCTATGTACCGGTATTTATCTATCTTATGGAAGGATTATTTTCAAAATACCTATATGAATAGACCAATTAAATAGATAAAATACAAATTTGACAGATATTAATGAATATTAAGTATACGATGATAAGCCTATAGTCCTGAGCAGTGTTGGGAATTAGCGCGCTACAAGTAGCACGCTGTTTTTTTTGTAGTGTTAGCTGTAGCTATGCTTCTTTTCAAATTTTGTAGCTAGAGAAGTAGCGAGCTACTTTTTTTAAGTAGTTGTAGCGGAATATTAGCTACTTTCCTCGCTACTTATATATTTCTTGAGCTATAGTGATTTTTATCACAACCTTACTCTTAACAACGTCTTTTGAACTAAAGTTTAAAAATAAATTAGACTTAACTAGGCCTACTTGTATGAAGCCAAAATCTAGACGCAGCTGTTTTATAATTTTTCTTTGCAGTTTTGCATAGATACTGAGGCCAAAGAGTATTGATTATGTTGATGTTAAAGACATTTTTCACTCTCATTCCTTTAATTCGCTACTCTATGGTCACTCTATCAGACCTAACCGCTCGACGCAGACGACGTTTAAAAACTATTAGAACAGAACCACGAACAGAACAACAGAACTCTAGTTACAGGCTATTAAACGTTTGTGAGTTTGACAAGTCTAGTTACATAGGCTAGGTCTAAACTTAATTCTACAATTGGCTGTGACTGTGAGTTAAGTTAAGTAGCCTATGATCCTATAATTTTGTTTTGCAACACTAAACTTAGCCACTTACAACCCTACTGTCACATCTTCAACGGTCTTCTGTAAGTTAACTTAGTTTGCTCTTACATAAAGAACAATTTTAACTAATTCAATTACCTCCTTCGTGACCGAGACCAGCGATAAGCAAAGCCAAAGCCATAAGAAAAAGAAATAGGCCTAATGAGTTTTTAGATTAGAGGTTTTTCTTTCAACGGTTAGGGTGAAACTGTAGCTTCACAAGATTTTTTAAACACATTGCTCTACTGCCACTGTTACTGGTAGACTGGTATAACCTTATCAGAATTTTTGTTTACTAGGCTACTAAGTTAGTGAGCTTTCTGGACGGCCCTGCTTTCTGTCAAGTAAATCTTGCATTTTCCTTTAACTACTAAGTAGCCTACTAACCAACAGAACAGTCAGAGTTGCGAGAAGATAAATTATTTTGAACTACAAGGCTAAAACCGGGCTAACTTACCTAGTTTTGAAATGCGAATTTTTTTAGAATAGGATAGGCTAGGAGTAAAACATTGGACGGATTGGTCACGGGGCTAGTAGGTTAGGGCTATAAAAAACGACTCCGGTTTGATTGTAGGAATAGATTTTCAATTAAAATCGTTTTGGTTTAGAACACTATATGTTTTATATTAAATATTTTAATGGATTTACAATCATACATTTAAATTTAAATAAATAATCCGTAAATTACTGAGCTGGTGTCACTTGCTTTCCATGTTATCTTATGGGACTTCCGGGGTTGGACAGCACCACTTGCAACGTTGCCAATTCTACAAGGCCGCGGCCTGTAGTTAAAGGCGGCCGTGGCACAGCGCGTAATTTTTACTTCACTATTAGGCCTAGTTAATTATAAAATTAAGAAAAATTATCAAATTAATCTTAACATTTTTCAATTATTAAATTAAAATATCATAACCTAACCAAACCTGCTGATAGTAAAAAAATCAAATTAAGGTTTAGTAATCTAAAAAATAGTTTTGTTTAGGGCCTATAAAATAAAATTATAAATGCCTAAAATTATATTTTATAATTTTCTAATTATAAAATTAAACTGTCATAACCTAACCAAACCAACCAAACTTGCTGATATGAAAAAATTGTTGGCAAAAAGTTAGTGCTGCCAGCGGAATTCGAACCCGGCACCTTCGGATTTTCAGGCCGACACGTTATCCTCTACACCACCGAGGTTGTTGACTGTATTCCGTATCGTTAATTGTGTTCCCTCAAGAGGATATCTGACAGCTCTCTTCTATACCTCCCTTGAGTAAATACCCTAAATTACTCCCATTCCCATAACAACATAACCATAGACCTTTATGAGAGGGAGACTGACTCCAGACTGACTCTGACACTGGACTGGACTGGTGGTGAGAGGGGAGGGGATAAGCGAAAGGGAAGAAGCTGCATCGGTGTATGCCATCTTGATATTCTTGCCATGACGATGACGATGACGAGATATACGGAGGAGAGACCCGAGCAGATAGACGGGGACGAGAAGAGACCTTCCACTTCCACGGCCGCCACGAACTTCCGCCTCCGTGGTGCGGCACGGCCTTCGACTTCGAAGTGGCAACGTCGCTAGTAGGGTGAAACCACGACCGCCTTTAACGCCAGGGGCCCATTTCATAATAAAGTACAAACTAATATTATTAGTAAATCAGCAGATCGCCCAATGCAAATCTATTGGAAATTACATGTTACAAGTTGTAACTTGTAGTTTATTATGAAATGGGCCCCAGGGGCCTTTTTCATAATAAAGTAAAAACTAATATTATTAGTAAATCAGCTGATCACCAAATGGAAATCACAAATTACAAGCTATATAAATTTGTTTTTGTTTTTTTACAGCATTTATAGCCCAGTCAATCTAGGTAAAAAATCATGGAAACCCGGAAATGCGAGATATAAAGCTGAATTTTGGCACAGATGTTCTTTATGATATCCTTGACCATATCCTAAAAGTCCCCTACCGTCCCCTGTGTGCTTCTTCCGGTATAAAGAAAAAAGGGGGGAGGGGCGAATCTTATATTTAAAAAACTTGGGTTTTCTTTTCCGAGTTCGTTTGGCTCTTCTACCGGACCGTTTTTCATGATTGAGGTCTCAAATATAAGGTGTGCACGCACAGACTTGCCATCAAGCATCGGCATATATTTATCTATGAACCCAATCGGCGAATACGTAAACGAAATTTGCTCCTCATGTATTTCTTATGGGAATTAAATTTGGGTTTTCTTTTACGAGTTCGTTTGGCTCTTCTACCCGACCGATTTTCTTGATTGAGGTCTCAAATTGAAGGTATGCCCGCACAAATTCGCCATCAAGCATCGGCATATATTTATCCATAAACCCACTCGGCGTATACGTAAACGAAATTTGCTCCCCATGTATTTCTTATGGGAGTTAAATTTGGCTTTTCTTTTCCGAGTTCGTATGGCTCTTCTTCCCGACCGATTTGTATTATTGATGTCTCAAATTGAAGGTTGAATTGAAGGTATGCACGCACAGATTTGCCATCAAGCATCGGCATATATATATATATCTATTTTCCAACTCGGCTTACACGTAAACGAAATTAGCTCCCCATGTATTTCTTATGTAAGTTAAATTTGGTTATTCCGATTTCGTTTGGCTCTTCTACCCGATCGATTTTCATGATCGAGGTCTCAAATTAAAGGCATGCATGCCAAGTTTTTACATAAAGCATCGGCAAATATTTACCTACTGTACTACTCGACCGAAACACATAATGTGATTTATTTTCTAACTCTTCAATTTAAGATGTACCTTCACCAGTTATAATTTTACAATCCTATATATATTGAGGGAGCATCAGTGTCTACGACACGGATATCAAATAATGCATCCCTCTGTGTCTCCCATACCCCTCTACATGCCAAGTCAGCTTTAATTGCAGGCCCGTTTGCATTTCCATTCTCTGCCATAAGGGGCTCTTTGATACAATTCCCCCATGACTGTTCCATAATGTTTCCTAAAGCATCTCTAATTTCATTGTGTCGTTTTATAATTAGGCCACCTACAAGACATGTAAGGACATGGTCTGTATTAAATTCTTTCCCACAGCCATCACATTTGGTTGGTAAATTGATTGGTGTCCGACCATATCTCAGTGCCAGGGAATCCCTAAATTCTTGGGGTTACATGTCTAAATTTAATTTCTTCAATGGTATACAGGATAACCAGCTGCCATGTTTTGATTTAGGGTCAGCATTTCGTAGAGTTACATTTTGCCTTTGTCGTGGAAAATATTTTAAATTTTCATTTAATAATTTGTTTTCTTCAGTTTTCTTTCATTATTTATTTTAATGTGTAAAATACCTACTGCCATACCAGCTGATCATTATTTTAATATGATTTTATGTTTTGATTTTACAGTTTTGTTTTTCTGTTTACATCTTAATAAAATGAGTTCATTAAGTTATTCAAATCTATTCTTTATTTAAAACACAACAAATGGCGACGAGTGATGAAAGAAATGATATCAGAAGACTGAAACATAAAAGAGGAGCACTAAAAGGCCAGATTACAAGAACTCTACACCTATTAAAAAGCAAGGGTTCATCAGTCAATGATGCTCCTGGCAGATTAAATGTAGCAGAGGAAGCTTGGCATAAATTCATCTCACTACACGAAGATATTTTACAAATAGAAGATGAAGATGATTTTGAACAAGAAGAAGATTACAGGGCTGATGTAGAAGAGGTATATTTAGAGATAAGAGCATTGTTACAGCCATTCTTTATACCGAACAAATCTACAGATGAACACACAACTTCTATATCAGTTGCACACGATAGCCATGTACCTAACATTAACTTTACACCTTACACAGAGAACGAGACATTTAAAAACTTTTTGATGAGACTTGAAAACTATTTTCAGTTAAAGAAAATTACAGATGAAAAGACCAAGACATGTTTGTTTGTCAGTACACTTTCTCCAGAGATACACCAAACATTGTGTGATACATTAGCTCCTGAGTTACCAGGTGACAAAACCTTCAATGAACTCACAGAATCTTTGAAAAATTGTCTTGAGCCTTCACCTAGCATACTAGCTAACCAACATAAATTTGTTTGCAAGGTTCAAGAACCTGGAGAGAACATAGCCGTATATGCCAGAGAACTTAAACGGTTAGCAACGGACTGTGAT